AGACAATATCCAAGTAAATGATGTTCTGGAAATTGAATTATGTCTACATAATTGCATATAGAGTGAGGAATATGACATTTTCAGATTTATACGCTGTTTTGCTTCAGTTGGAAGTTATTATTAGAATTTATTTTTGTTTTTAGTTGATATTAGCTTGATTAAATGGATAAATTATCCAAGCCTGTTTATGAATTAAGTGCACCGCTTTTAAATAGAGACACGATCTGTATTTTGTTTGGAATTTTTCCCCTCTGTTATTTTTCTGTGCGTTACACTTTGAGCAAATTATTGGTGAGTTTAGTTAACTCTCATGTTTGGTTTTTTAAGTTAATTAGTGACAGGTTTGAGAAGGGGGAATTTGGATGTTCATTTTCTAGTTTGTACCTGTGTTTACAGCAATGGAAATGCACCACGTATAGGAAATAATAACAAATTCATAACCTTATAAAGTTACCAACTATTCTATTGTGGCGGCAAGGTGGAATACGCATCACTGTATTACGTAACAATAATTTGTTTTCCTCGGTGATGGCAGCGACTCAAAAATTATTTCTCTTGTTCTTTCGTGATGTGCTGGGCTAAAATACCGGGAGCAAAAGTTACAGTGAACCACATAGAAGAAGGACGATTATGACGTTATACTTTAAAAATCATTTATTCAGGTTTGGGTTGATATGTAGAAAGTTTAGTGCAAGTATGTTCTGAGCATCATGCTCTGGGATGAGTTGTTTTCCTGTATTAACCCTTTAAAGCCTAGTGGTAACTATATGTACCATTTGCTTTACCAGTCAGTAACTGCATTTTGTACTTGTGGGTTTCGTATGATTCTTGATGTAAACAGATTATTACTTTAACATTTCAAGGCTCAGTGGTAATTATATACTGTCTGCTTTAACGTTCACTCTCGCGGAGTATATGGCTTATGGGTTTCGTATTATTTTCAGCATAAACAGCGATTATTTCCTTAATCGGCATTGGCAAGCTGATCTTTGTAATGGTGAAGAGTTGTTTTCTTTGCGGTACGGACTGAATTATTAAATATTTTGTAGACGACCTTCGGCTTCAGAGGGTTGATGGTATTCTTTCCTCCGTTTTCTCAAACGAGGAGGCTCTGGAAAACGAGTTATGTTACGGTAAACTTTGCAGTTATTGCAAAGAAAATGACACTGCATTCTTCCAGAGTAGCCGTGCCATGAAGGTGTAATCATTGAATCTGACGTATAGATATACCGCTACCAATATCCAGGCTCAATTTTGCGTAAGTTATGATCACGTTTATTCTGGTCTTCATACCGGCCAACAGCCGTAAAATGACTTAGAACGTCAAGCCTGGGGATCAAGTAACGTAATTTAACAGATCGAGTGATGGTGATATAACTTTTATGTATACTTTGGAACTTAGATCAGCCCGTTAGACGCTGGGTTATTATGACGGAGGCCTAGGTTCATTCCAGGGCATTCCATGTGGTATTTTTATGAATTACTTATTTTAGTTGTATTAGGAATTGCATCTGTTTTTTAAACCAATAACGATGAGGATAACCGTCTAGACAACTTAATACTTTTTTATAACATGTCTCAACCCTATCAGGCCATTTTCAGGTATCAATATAGACCTGAAAGCTGAAGATGATTCTATAAGGTTGAAACATGTTATAAAAATACTTTTCAAAGATAGTTCTTCCAGAATAGCGTTGTTCCTATTCCTGTGTTCCTTATTGGGGGTCTCATGCCTATGCCAGCGTGTCTGCCCTCTGTGTTTGAGGAAATGCATTACAAAGAAATAGATCAGGATTAAATTTAATTAGGGTTTGAGCTCTTCATGGCCCTAATGATGGAGGCAGGAAGGACGTCTGAAACGACTGTTAATTTATACCAGACTACACAGTGCCAGATCCTGGAAGACTGTGATCTCATTAAGTTTTTTTGCACTTAAAAAGTTTTAATTTGTGTTGGAGCGCATTATACGAAGAATAACATAAAACCGAAAGAGTAGTGTCGACTCTAAACCCATCGATTGCCCAAGCAGTTGAGCCAGATGCACTCATGAAACTTTAGAGCCATAAACGAAGTCAGGTCACGGACATGACCTTACCTGCAGCGGGGTGGTGGTTTGTGGGGCTGCTCGTTCGTGGGGCGGGTACAGCTGAGCGAGGCACATCACAGCCTCATTGCAGAACTTCAGCCCCATCACTTCCTCGTCCTCACGACCATACCTAAACGTCAGCGTCACCTGCCCGTAAACCTGAAAACAATGATGACTTACTCAAGAACTTGCCGTGTGTGTGCGTGTACAGCTTCAGGGCTAACCGTCTGTTTTGGATCTAGGAACAGCAGAGAATAAAAGGGGACTTGGAGTGAATTTGAACTCAATACTGAAACAGTTAGAACGTGCTGAGTCTGGTGGAAATTATAGTATAATGAAGCTTCTGCGTTCTTAAAGAGAAATTTCGTATCTTTACGTCACCACGTTATTTCTCGACGTGTAAGGGGAAGTATGCATGGTATACGTAAGGTATCTACGTCAATGCCATCCTCTTCTTACGTATTCATAAACGAGTCTCTGGCGACCGAATCACGGCGGTATAAACTTTAGACGACATCTGCATAACATTTTATACTACTAACTTGCAGATGGAACCTTTTATGTTAAACAGTAGGCCTAATACAATTTATTGCAGCATTAGCTTTGCAAATCGTATTGAAAATACCGAATTTATAACATTTTTGTAAAAAGTAAAGTAAATGTGAAAGCATCTTTACTGTGACAAGCCAGACTCCTGACAAACGGATATTCCGCCAGATCCCACCATAGGCGCCACCATAGCATTTCTTGCTACTAGTGTCGCCACTTTCAGAACATGCTTTCAATTGTTCCGCGTCACACGAACGGCACACTCGTCCAGTTAACATTCGGAATTTAGGAGAAGAAAGAGAGATTTATTGTACTTCCTTCCAATTTGTGTTTTGCCACTCATTAGTGAAAGGCGAGCTAACCAGCCTCTGTTCCCATTTCAGTCCTTCGTGCCACTTGTCCTGCAAGAATAACTACTTCCATTCCATCCATTTGACAAATCTTGAATTTTATAGGGAAAAGTTTTCTTTATCCGGATGCTTCGATGCGAATTCCTGCCGTGTCAGTTGTGCTAAGGTGTCGGTTATCTTTCTCGTGCGCCATGGAAAGTGTTGATCCTTGTGTCTCGTAATCACCGCCAATAACTGACGACCTGCATGCACGCTTGCAGCCGCACACGTAGGTCACACGCTACAAAGAGTGGTCACGTGCATACAATCAATTTCGCTGGTGAAACTGACATTTCAATTGCCTTCGTCTGTTCATACATTCGGATGAAGGGCTTTTTATCGGCGCCTCGCCCGTCACGTATCTGACTTCTAGGAAGTGTGAGGATGTCTCCTACTTTATAACCAACCCCACAGTTCAGTATCTCAAACGAGGCTCTTGATATCTGTGGTAGTCGTCACCAAATTGCATGCTTCAAGGCTATAGAAGGACGTCTGTCTGTCACTTTCTCTCTCTCTCTCGCACACACACACCTTTCCGCGGGGCTCTACGTCATCAGTATGGCGTTGCTAGCTACGATACTAATTCTGGGCCCTTTTTATTTGCCCCGCTGTTCGTGTGGTATGTATTTTTGTGACAGTTTTACTCGTATGTCTATCTACACGAACCATTCAATACCAATTTCCTAAAGTAGGAGCAGTCAGTTCCTCTGAAACATTGGTAATTTTTACATTTTTAATAAGGTCCAATTCCCAGAAGTATTTGTATTGAATATGAGTATTGTTTAAAATTACAGCGTTCCTATATGTATATTTTGGTAATATTAGCCTTTTCATGGTTGAGATGGAAGTTGCAGATATTAATTATTTGTCCCTCGTGTCGCGTTCGTATACACGGGTGTGTAGTAAGTAACATTCAGTGTAGTGTCTGAGTCCGACGGACAGTTCTGACATTCATGCATAATTCCTGGTTGCTCGTGGCTTACAGTAGCGAATGAACAGGCAAGCAGACTGACAACGATCTAGTATTTTGCGTGTGCCCAGTTTCAATTTACGAATAGCCTGCCTGCAGGGATGTAATCCATATGCCAGACCATAAACCTTTAGGGTGCAGCGATTTCCGTAGTTTATTAAAATTAAGTGTGTTTCGTAGCATTGCATACACTTTCAGCCTCAATTTCATGGAGTAAAAAATTATGCACTGCAACAGTTGTAAAAATAAGCTTTATCGACTCTTTATGGGAATATGAACATTTCATACCTAAACATCTTATTTTATTAGAAAGTACGTACAGTCATGTCAGTATGCCTGTCCTCATTCATAAATTAAGCATTTCAATTTTTTTCTAGAACTTCGTGTCAATATACCGTTCTGTCGTTTGTAATGTCAACATGGCGGTCGTACGAACTTGGGAACTCTTAAAGTTACATTCCTAGACGGAATGCTGTGACCATAAAGATTAATTGTGTAAAAGAATGGAAGAAATGGGATGTCGGGTTTTGTATGCAAATACGGATTCAAGTTCAAATGCAAGTTCAATGATTATGCATTGGTTTCGCATTTTAGTGTTGATAAACGAGTGTAAACAGTGCAGTTGAATGTACTATAAATTCACTCTTGTTTGGTAAAGGAAATGGATCTTGACTTGACTACGGGATTTCTGACCCATATAGAGGCCCGTGGATCTTCACATCATTCTCATTGCTGTAAAGGCGGCCGCAGCCTTATGCAAACCCCTCACCGTCTGTTGTTGTTATTTTATGCCTGTGACGTGCTTTGATTGCTTGCCACTTGGGTATAAACTGAAGAAAGTTGAACTATCAGAATTATTAAATCTTTAGAAACATACCTTTCGATCTTGAAGATAATCTGGCTCTACTAGGATGACACCCTGTAGTAGGTCTATCTTGTTGTCTGATATCACCAGATCTCGACTACTGAGGTAAAGGGTCAGTTTGTTGTTAGGAGCCGATTTCTTGAACACTCTGTAACAAAGATTTTTACGCAGTACATTATTTAAGTATCCGCACTTCGTGTCGTTAAGGTTTTGGGAAATTACACGTACAGTGCTCTTGGTATGTGAATATGAGACTCATCTTTCATGCCTTAATATTCGCCATCCATTGGTGGATTCCATTTATACGGAAAAGGTTCTGGTTATTGGTTCGTTGCGGGCTGCTCGTAACGATTGCGTTCTTGTCCACATCTTCCCGAAAACATATATCCCAAGCTTCACTCATGGATAGCACTTCAATTCGTGCAGTCGAAACCACAGGCAAACGCGGTTCCAGTTACTGGTGTTAACCCCTGGTCAGAAATATCCCCTCACATTCTGTGTGAACAATTGTTGAGAGACGCCTTAGAGAATTGGTCGCTGTCGTGTGTAGTAGGTCCCGGAAGTAGTGTAAACATGGCATATAACGATATTGGTTTTATTTATCATATTTGTCTTTAAAATTCTAAGTAATTAATGTCTCATTGCATAATATGCCCCTTTCCTATAATATAAGACTTTACTTTAAAGATAATGTTTGAGTATAAAGCTCACAAAAAATAACAACACAATTATAAAATTAAATTATAGAGCTCTTTACCGAAAATATGATATTTTTATACCCAAACTGAATGTAGTACCAAATTTATTATTTGCATGTACAGTTCTACTGTCCATTCACGATAAAAAGCGTAATATAACCAGTGATCACCACTGTAGGAGAGTCTACCTTAAATCTAATCATCAGGGGACAAGAAATGGATTTCCAAACAAAATTTGTTCTTTTAACTTTGGCTCAAGGGAAGGAAACTCAGAAAACAGCTTTGATTGTAACGTAAGAGCAAAATCTCATCTGGAAAATTTTGTTCCTGCTTTGTCATATTTCGTCACATACAAATGTAATATCCTTTCTCAGTGTTGTTGCGTTTAGTAATTTCTGTCAAGAGAGGCATGAATATTAACTTCTGAAACATCTTTGTTATAAAAGGAAACGTAGAAACGCAGTTAATTATTGCAACAAAATTGAAAATGTCTTTCTTACTTCTCTTTCAGAACCGGGGGATGAAGTTGGCAGTGTCATAATTGAAACGTATTCTTTGTATAAAAATAAATACGGATAGAGATTAGTTTAATGTAAAGTCGTTTGTTCTGCTCTGAAACTGTAACCATTTGAGATATTCATACATCCTACCGTTTTGAAGCGTGGAGCTTTTGATTTTACACGTCATGTATTGCAAGCGGAAACTTCATTTCATAGCCCATCTCACTTGATGGGTTTCATACGTACCGAGAGAAAGTAAAAGTTAAAAATAGCTTAGATAGAGTCATACCGTCCCACATCAGTCAGCCAATATTACGTGTAACTTTCAGCTTTTGAACATAGTGTTAACTGCATTTTGTAGAGCATCTATTGAGGTGAAGATAATCGCTCAGCTGGAAAAGAAATCTCACACTTTAATGGAGCCCGGAATTTTATTACGGCCTATTCTGATCCTTATGAACCCAATTCACATATTCGTTTTCCCGATCCATGTGCATCTCATTTACATTTAGATCTGTAGCGTTTACGACTAGATGCCTTAAGCTGTTCTGACTGAAGTCGTATGCATTGCTCTCTTTTCCATGCCCCGCCCATATAATCCTCGATTTGATCTCCCTAATAATATTTATGAAGTGTAAATTATAAAGCCTCTTTGATGGAGTGTCCAACTACCCTCCTGCTACTTTTCTCTTAGCTCCAACTGTTCCCCTTAGGACCCTGTTCTCTAACACAATCGCTCTGTGTTCCTCCTATAGAGTGAGAAACCAAGATTAATTTCCTTGCAAAACAACAGGTAAAATTATGGTTTCTGTATATTTTAATCTCTGTGTTTTTAGGTAAGAGGTGGGGAGACGAAATGTAGGATTATTTTCGAAATTCGTGTAATGGCTGACTGGTTTCATATGATTAT